TTGATGCAACAGCAACAGTGCAGTTTAAGGAGCCTTACAAAATCACTGCCAAAGAGGACCAGAAGGACGTCAAGTTGATCTGTGAAGTGGTTTCTGGGAAAGTTAATGGAACTTTCAATATAAGGTAATTTTTCCTCTAAATGAGAAGCGGCTTTAATTCTTACAACCACTTCATTCTATTATATGCGATTTATCCCCGGTGGAAATTATGTCCACTTCTAAAGAAAGTTATTACACGTACCCTGCTATGCAGGGGGTACGTGTAGTAAAATGCTGACACTTTCTTGTTTTTTTTTTGTTTTTTTTTTCACAATGTCGAAAGTTTGGCTTCGGTACATCTTCGTAGCCCATTGTGAATTATATATCCGGTAGCCAATCACATTACGTTGTGTATTCCGAACGCTATAGCCCCGTTCGCAACATTTCCAACTCGTTCTGCACAATGTTTTATCCGCCATTTTTATGAATATTGTCTCTACTAACGAATATGGAACAGAACATGAAGGTTTACGACCAAAATCTGGAACTCATTACTTGTCTGGGTGTTCGGACCAAGGGTATGTTGAATTGTGATGACGAGGAGATCTCACTACAGAGATCAACACGCTTACTACTCGTGAAGCAACGGCAACGATCAACGATACTTGACGATATAGTGATTGGGTTCCAATGATTGAATATCAATACAACTCTTTAGAAAATGCTTATTAATTCCATGGCTATTCAAACATCTGCAATAGATATGTCGAGTTTTAATGTACATGTGCAAAAATATTGTGTTACTATCATATCAAAAGTTAATAAAGCGTGATCACGTTGTAACCAAATCATGCCTAGTTATATATCTCCGGGTATATCTGACCTTAAAATTATACTGCAGAATCACAAAGGCAGTTACAGCTGAAATTTTAAGAGCCACCACATATAAGCTTATCGCAAAAATCACATATATCTTGGCAAGGCTCGATGGATCAAATCATTTCTTTATTCTGTATCAGTAAGGTTTTAATAAGGCCTCATTTACTAATGATCTCACAACATCATGCACACGGGTGCACAACAAAGGGTACGTGTCAACCCTGCATACAGGGTCTAGTTAAGCTTTGTTTGCGCGACTGCAGTGGCCTTTGGTTATTTAATCGTCCAGTCCTATCCATTTTTCCTTTCGATATTTATTCATATTGCGCGATCCAATGCCAGATTCCACCCGTTCACTTAGTTACTAATTTATTCCCTCATTCATTTTTTGCCTTTCTGTCCTTTTTTTGCCTTTGCTTTGATCAGCCTTGATATCAATTATGCCTCATCCACTGCACTTGAAGGAAAAGACTTCATCATCAACCACAAGACACTGACGTTCCACCCCAATTCAAAGACTGCAGTTTCACTAATACAAATCTTGAAAGACAAGGAATCTGAAAGCCAAGAAGTGGTTCAGCTTTCATTGAGAAGCCTTCAAAGAGAAATCTCAATCGGCAGCAATAACAAGGCAGTGATTAAGATTGAAGATAAGCAGTTCATTGGTGAGGGACAAATTTTTGTTTATATAGTTCAAAGCATTGGGATGTATACTAAGAACTCGCTAAAAAAGGCCTAGCAATATCATGCAGTGTACCTTGATTGCGGTCAGTTCAGCTACGCATATCAATGAATGAATGATAACAATTGCCTATGAAATATTGCTCTTCGTTTAGAAGTCATATATGGTAATATTATAACTGAAAGTACACATGGACTCGCTTTTGGTGATTTGTTTTTTAATTTTAAAGCTTTAAATCGCCTAAAACTTGCAGATATGATAGCGAATAGACTTTTCGACAATCGGGCATCTTGTTTGTTTCCATATATGGCGCCATAGATATGGTAAGGAATCACAAAGCTAAAAAGCACAGCGATCCTGCACAAATGGCAACAATATCGATTTACTCACTTTATTACTAACATTGATAACAAGCAATTATGGCTGTCCAAAATTAGGCTGTCCAAAATTTGCAATTTGACGGTATCTCTTCTTGTTCTTCTTCTTGTTCTTCTTCTTGTTCTTCTTCTTGTTCTTCTTCTTGTTCTTCTTCTTGTTCTTCTTCTTCTTCTTCTTCTTCTTCTTCTTCTTCTTCTTGTTCTTCTTCTTGTTCTTCTTCTTGTTCTT